TTAAACATATTTACGATGTTACAAAGCAACATAACTGCATGCTTGAAACATATTTACGATGTTACAAAGCAACATAACTGCATGTTTGAAACATATTTACGATGTTACCAAGCAACATAACTGCATGTTTGAAACATATTTACGATGTTACCAAGCAACATAACTGCATGCTTGAAACATATTTACGATGTTACCAAGCAACATAACTGCATGCCTGAAACATATTTACGATGTTACCAAGCAACATAACTGCATGCCTGAAACATATTTATGGCAATACCATGCAACATAACTGCATACCTGAAACATATTTATAACGTTACCGTACAGCACATCTGCATAACTGGGAAGCATGTTTTACAGGCGTATATAGATATTCATCACTTCTAACTTATGATTCTTTGATCGAACAATGAATGTTTTTATCGGATTAGGCTACTTACAAAACAAAACAACAACAACAAAGCATTTATCATCTTAAGTTATGTTTTCTTTTTCTGTGATGAAAATCTCGAAACGTGTTTTTTTCATTTTCATTTTCATTGGTTTGTTAAGATCAAGTACCTAAAACAATATACGTCTATAATACAAAAGTGGCCCCCAGTGGCACAGCGGTATGTCTGCGGAGTTACAACGCTAGAATCCGGGTTTCGATACCCGTGATGGGCAGATCACAGATAGCCCTTTATGTAGCTTTGTACTTAATTACAAACAAACAAACAATACAAAAGTGGAGTCAAAACAGTGATAAATATACAACTTTTAGTGTCATTTAGATTGGTCAACAGTATCAAAAAATGTTTACAGAAATTATAGAAAAATTATTACAAAATAGTAACATTTTAAACTCAAAAGTAACTTGTTGATCGTCCTCTATTATTGTTAATTTAACTGAAGTTCTAGAAAAGGGTTAGGAGTTAGAGAAGTATAGTTTGTATCGTTTTTAAAAGTCTGGCTAAAACTTAACACACATTTCCATTAAAAGCATTCCGTCTACTCAAATCGAAACCAAAACCCAATCCACCAATGAGCCCAGCTACCTAGATATGCCATTGTTGCGTTCCTACTTATAAAAATAATTATGCGTTACATTATCGTTTCGGCATACTCTCTTTTAACCATATTTTCACCGTTTAATATATTTTTTTTAGGTGTAAGATTTTTTGAATTTCGAGTACTTTGTTTCATGACAGTTTCTTGGAAAGTAAAAACAACTATAACGAGAAATATTTGGGAAAACATGAAATACATTTGGTCTTTTTAACCCTAGATTTATCCCACACACGCGTGGGCTCTTTAAACACATTTTCCCTAATTGTTTAAACACCAAATTGCTGGTGGCCCATCATTTTGTCTAGACTAAAGCATCCCGAGATGATGCCCGTATCCACGTGCTCTTTCAGCAGAGTTTCGACAAATGTTTAAGCACCAAATTGCTTATAGCTACATGACTTTGTTGGCTAGGCTACAGATTCTTAATTAGTATACCAATTAGAAAAAGAAAAAAATATTAATATTGTACTTAATCCCACTAATTACTGGTGTTGTGTCCTCTGTATTTTGTACAGAAAATGAGTGATTTTACTTATTTATTTTGGTGAGTTCTTGTTTGTTTGTTTGTTTTTAATTATGCACAAAGCTACACAAGGGCTATCTGTGCTCTGCCCACCACGGGTATCGAAACCCGGTTTCTAGCGTTGTAAGTCCGCAGACATACCGCTGTGCCACTGGGGGGCTGGTGAGTTCTTTACACAGGAAAAACCAATATTACTCAATATGTGGACCCTCCGTGTAAATATCTTTATTTTTGGTGCTTTCGTACAATATTATATGCACTGTTTTGTCTCCCACTTTAGTTTTAGTCACGTCGTTAGGCTGATGAATAAGTGGCCCCTTTTGTTCTTTCCTCTCTTCTAATTTGGAATGACTGTTTAGGCTTTGATTTAACAAGAAACTCCCTTGTGAAAAATTAACTCTAGGTAGAACCTTGTATTTTTGCCTCTCTACGAAATGCGTAGAACAATAAACCTATTTAAAATATTTTAACTTTTTCATGTACTTCTGTAATAAGGTGTATTCGATGTTTCTTTCAGACCTAGTTATTATTATTTGTTCTTTACATAGAAACAAACATTATGTTTGGTTTATGAAACATTCAAGTCGCGTGGATGAAGAGGGAGAATTTACTAATTCCAGTTTTATCTCTTCCTCCCTCGTGTTCTTCATCAGTTCTCTGTTCTGTTTCTAACGGCGAATGACGTCAAGGTATCGTGCGCATGACATCTGTTTAGAATCCTTATACACAGCACGCGCTAGCAGGTCGTTATTGTTAACTTCGGTGGCCCAGAAGACACACAATAGTAAATACCAGCTAGCTACTGCGGCCATCGTGGGACAGTACCTTTGTCCGTTTGCCCCTAGTAACCACTCTTTGTTAAATCTTACAGCTCCTACTTTCGGAGCAGTTTTCTACTAGATGTTGCGTTGCGATAAAGTGTTCGACTTTGAACGTAGCCCAGGAAAGGTAAGACCTAGTTTCTTAATTTTGTTTTGGCCACAGTTAGTTACATACTAAACAAAGTGCTTAATACTTACAAGTGAAAACTAGAAAGCTGAATAGTGAATATGAATAGTCGTGTCTGTGTTTCTACGTTGTCTGTTTTGTTCATACCATTGTGCTGATGAGATTTAATTCCTGCTTGGGAGGTTTCTCTCATTCTTCGGGTTTACAGCTACACTACCAATTTTTTTACAGAGTAAATGGCGTAAAAAAGGTACTTCATACCCTGCTCATTCCCCCAGTTGGGATATGACTAAAATATTTATTTAAAGCCACAGCCATTTCAGAATCAAATCATTGAACTAAACTGCCGAAGTGTTAAAATAAGAAATTGACGAAAAGAGGCGGACTACTTTATGATAATTTGTTTTTGAAAGCATTAAAATTAGAAATTGACAAAAAGAGGCGGACTACTTTATGACAATTTGTTTGATGCGGATGTATACAGCGGAAAGGGTGGTGCAAAAAATCTGTCAACCGAAAACATGTCGAACAAAATGGACGTAATCAAATAAAAATAAAATCAATAATTAACGGTTTTATTAGGAATAACGTAGAAAGTTTAGCAGCAATAATGTTAAAAACCAAGCTTCTAAAATATGTGCCAAAGATTTTCTAACCTTGAAAAAAATACGTACGTGTATTTTGTTTTACAATTTTCATTAGGACGCAGTGTCTTTCTTTCAATGTTTATTAAGTCGTCGACACCTGAAACTTCCACGTGTGTAGTACAGACAACAGTCACCTGTTCAGGACTTCTGTTGAAATAAGGCCATTTGTTCTAATGATAATACATTAAAGTTATAACTCGATCTATTTTACACAGGTTTTCCAAGTTTTCTTTATAAAAGTAAAATTATTTAATAATAACTGCAAGACAAACACCATGCTGCAGTACTAAATTTGACAAAAAAAAACCGCTAGGGAAAGGTTTTATATAACTGATAGCCTTATAGATTATTTTACAGGGCCCGGCACGGCCAGGTGGTTAGGGCGCTCGACTCGCAATCTGAGGGTCGCGGGTTCGAATCCCCGTCACACCAAACATGCTCGCCCTTTCAGCTGTGGGGGAATTATAATGTGACGGTCACTCCCACTATTCGTTGGTAAAAGAGTAGCCCAAGAGTTGGCGGAGGGTGGTGATGACTAGCTGCCTTCCCTCTAGTTTTACACTGCTAACTTAGGGACGATTAGAGCAGATAGCCCTAGTGTAGCTTTGCGCGAAATTCAAAAACAACAATTATTTTACGTACAGTTTCATGAAGTTCTTTTCTCCCCAGAGTTATCGACTTGTTTCGACACCGTTTGCTAATGGTGATATCAGATATTCAGTGATATTATATCTTTCCTTGTTAAGTATAAGCAACTGATCAAAAGAGTTAGGCGAAACCCCATAATTTTGTTGTGTAAATTACCCAAGGGAACTCTAGCGGTAATGAGCAGTATTAACTGTAATATCGTGATATTTGTAACAATCTACGTGACTCGTATGTTATTAGGAGCCTTTGTAACCAACAACGTCATCATGGACTCACTGGCGTAAATAATTCATAATAGGACGTTTAGAAGACCAGTGGTAGTTCTTCTCGGTAATTCTAGGGTTAAGCTAGTCTCTTTGTGTATGTTTTTGTGGACTTTTGCCCAAATCTACTCTATCCGCCTCTAAATTAGAAGTGATAGACTAGAGAAAAGGCTATTTTGCCTACTCAACACCACCCACCGCCAACTCTTAGGCTACTCTTTTATCAACGAAAAGTGGGATTGACCTTCAAATTCTAATGCCCCTACGGCTGAAAGGGCGATCACGTTCAGTGACGCGATTCATGATAATTGAGTCTGCGCTTCGTTGTACTTTTTCGCCCACAAAAGTTAACATTTTGTATTTGAGTTATAAAGTAGTTCAACTTTATTATCAAGCTAATTAATGACTGCTAACAAAACTTTATTATCAAGCTAATTAATGACTGCTAACAAAACTTTATTATCAAGCTAATTAATGACTGCTAACAAGGTTATTAACGTAAACTGTGAAGCTACCACATCTTGATAAAACTTTGGATGGAAACAAAAAATGGCCGAGTTTAAAATGTAATGAAGTTCTGCTCCTTTCTTATTGGTTTTAGAGAACGGACTTATGTACAAATAAGGATCATTTCATATTTCCATTGCTTATGTATTATTAAATTAATTATTCTCAATTTTGATAATTATCTACTCGTCTATTCATCCACTCGTTTCTTGGTCGACTCGTCTTTGAGATTATTTATCTAAAAAACAATGGGGTGCAAACTGTGAAGACGTATTGGGTGAGAGTGATATTATTTACCTAGAGAAACAATGGGGTGCAAACTGTGAAGACGTATTGGGTGTGAGTGATATTATTTACCTAGAGAAACAATGGGGTGCAAACTGTGAAGACGTATTTAGGTGAGAGTAATATTATTTACCTAAAAAACAATGGGGTGCAAACTGTGAAGCCGTATTTAGGTGAGAGTAATATTATTTACCTAAAAAACAATGGGGTGCAAACTGTGAAGACGTATTGGGTGAGAGTGATATTATTTATCTAGAGAAACAATGGGGTGCAAACTGTGAAGCCGTATTTAGGTGAGAGTAATATTATTTACCTAGAAAAACAATGGGGTGCAAACTGTGAAGCCGTATTTAGGTGAGAGTGATATTATTTACCTAGAAAAACAATGGGGTGCAAACTGTGAAGCCGTATTTAGGTGAGAGTGATATTATTTACCTAGAAAAACAATAGGGTTCCAACTGTGAAGCCGTATTTGGATGAGAGTGAAATTATTTACCTAGAGAAACAATGGGGTGCAAACTGTGAAGCCGTATTTGGATGAGAGTGAAATTATTTACCTAGAGAAACAATAAGGGGGTTTATTTATTGTTTATTTGTAATTAAGCACAAAGCTTTACAACGGGATATCTGTGCTCTGTTTACCACGGGTATCGAAACCCGGTTTTTAACGTTGTAAGTCCGCAGACATACCGCTGTGCCACTGGGAGTGAGATTGTTTACCTGGAGAAACAATACGGTGCAAACTATGAAGCCGTATTTTGGTGAGAGAAATACAGAAGTGCAGTTCATTTTCCTCTCCTTGATTCTCACTAAAAGATCCTTGCTTAGTTAAATAACCCGTTTAAACTACAAATTTATGATACCTTGTATTATAACATAGCATAATAGTATTTCTTAGAGCCTATCATTGTCAAATGATTGAATTTATATTCTCAAAGCGTGATGTTTTGCTGTTATAATTGTAACAAACTTAATGTTATTTTCCACAGCTGTAAAATAAACTTCCTTTTAAATAATAGACTTTTAAATAACTGAAATGGAGCTAAAAGTAGGTAAACGTTTTCCCTACACTATATCAAAACAACCTGTACTTCCTAGTGCACGTGCTGAGGTTGTGTCAATTGGATATCAATCATTCATTACCATGGCTAGTACGTCTATACGATCACACAACTCTAACTGTCCATTAGTTAATAAAGTTTTCGTGTATCCTCTGAATGTTAACAGAGGTATATTCAGGAAATGTTACGTTTTGGGGGCTTATTCCTCCAAACATACTTCAAATGCATTTTTTCCCATGTTCATTGTTTTATAATGATGTATCAGTTCGTTAAATGCTATTAGGAGTTTCGATAAGAAACTACGATTGTATTCCTGCTCCGGTTTTTATGTTCTGTTTCTTAAATCAATAAATTCACTCTTCTGTAAAACGCTGTAAACTAGTTGCAGAAAATGAAATGTACATTAGTTTTTCACGCTGATGGCATAAACCTAATTAACCGGTGGGGGTTCATGCTCCCCTCCCATCGGCTTTTTAAACTTTTTATGCACCAAATTGCTCGTGAGTTCTACACTTTGGTTGTTACAGAGTCTATACAACTTACTAGTTACACAAAAATATTTGGATAGAACTAACTACAACTGGAGGTCCTCTATGTTCTTTACATGGAAAATGAGAGATCTTACAGTGTTTTACATAGAAAATGGGTGATTTTACAGTGTTTTACATAGAAAATGGGTGATTTTACAGTGTTTTACATAGAAAATGGGTGATTTTACAGTGTTTTACATAGAAAATGAGTGATATTACAGTTTTTACATAGAAAATGAGTGATATTGCAGTATTTTACATAGAAAATGAGTGATTTTACAGTGTTTTACATAGAAAATGAGTGATATTACAGTGTTTTACATAGAAAATGAGTGATATTACAGTTCTTTACATAGCAAACGTGTGTTCTTAGAGGGTTTTGATTAACCAATGGGTGATTTTACAAAGCATTAAGTTACTAAATTTGATATAAAATATATTTCATATTTATGAACAGTTGAACTAACACACAGTGTTATGATAAATAAAATAACACACAGTGTTATGATAAGTAGAATAACACCCAGTTTTATGATAAGTAGAATAACACCCAGTGTTATGATAAGTAGAATAACACCCAGTGTTATGATAAATAGAATAACACACAGTGTTATGTGAAATAGAATAACACATAGTGTTATGATAAGTAGAATAACACATAGTGTTATGATAAGTATAATAACACCCAGTGTTATGATAAGTGGAATAACACACAGTGTTATGATAAATAGAATAACACCCAGTTTTATGATAAGTAGAATAACACACAGTGTTATGATATATAGAATAACACCCAGTGTTATGATAAGTGGAATAACACACAGTGTTATGATAAATAGAATAACACCCAGTTTTATGATAAATATAATAACACCCAGTTTTATGATTAGTAGAATAACACACAGTGTTATGATAAGTAGAATAACACACAGTGTTATGGTAAGTAGAATAACACACAGTATTGTGATAAGTAGAATAACACACAGTATTATGATAAGTAGAACAGTAGCTTTAGTTTTCGAGGTTTTAATTTTTCCACAAACAGTGCGTGTTATTATT